TGGTGCAGCTCCGGCTGTTGCAGCCAATTGGGGAGTGAACCAGCAGATGGAAGAGCTCTCTCTCTCTCTCTCTCTCTCTCTCTGTAGCTCTTTATTTCAAATAAATAAGTAAATAAATAAATATTTTAAAAATTGTTAATTGTTAAATTCACAACATGAGTCACTTTGCACTAACTCCCCATTCAGGACTTCTGTCCTCAGTGGGTGGTATTATGAGAGTAAACCGTAAAACCAGTTCTCAAACAGTTGTGTGTGTGTGTGTGTGTGTGTACAAATTGTTGAAATCTTTACTGAATATAGAATTGGTCTTCTGTGTATAAAGTTAATTAAAAATGAATATTAATGGAGAATGAGACTGGGAAAGGGAGAGGGAGGAGTAAGTGGGGTGGGAGTAGGGGTGGGAAGGCAGGTATGGTGGGAAGAATCACTATATACCTAAAGTTGTAATTATGAAATTTGTACTCATTAAATAAAAGGTTTCTTTGGGAAAAGAAATGAAGTGTGAAGTGTGAATGAATAAGAAAAGATTTTTAGAAAGAAATACATTTGAACAACAATATATAGGGAAAGTGAAATGAAATTGTGACCTCAAAGAATCCATAATATGTGTATGTATATGTATGTATACACATGCATGTATATATATATTGCATATATATCTGTAAGCATTATGTATAGGGACATATCTAGATATATAACATTATAGATATATATCTTATTCATATACTTGTACTATTGAAAATATATATATTAATGGCAAATTATCAATATTAGATTCCACTGCTGCATAAATATATGCAGTGTAATATTTTATTTTGAAATACACATATTTACATACTGCAAAAGGAATGACCTAATTATGGCCTATTTAATATATGATCTAAATTTTAGATGGAATTTAATATATTCCAAAGGAGTGCTTCCTATTTCTAAAGGATTTTATGATCAAAATAGAATTAGAGTCACTAGTCAGCTATTTATCTTGCTACACAATGTTTATGTGATACAAATGACTATTTTCTCTCATATGAAGACTCTCATAAGCTTTATAAAATTATACTTTTTATAAAATCTTTCTTTTCTTTTCTCCCATTCTGGAGCTCCAAATAAATGTATTTTAGCTCTTCCTAACTTGACCCATATGTATTTGAATCTGTGTTCTGTGTAAAATATTTCTTTGTCTTTTCTTAAAATTTTTTATTTATTTATTTGGAAGAGCTACAGAGAGGCAAGGCAGAGAGAAAGAGGGGTCTTCTGTCTGCTGGTTCCCTCCCCAGATGTCCACAATGGCCAGAGCTGTGCCAGTCCAGAGCCAGGAGCCAAGAGCTTCTTCCTCGTCTCCCATGTGGGTTCAGGATCCAAAGGACTTGGGCCATCTTCTACTAGTTTTTCAAGCTGTAGCAGAGAGCTGGATGGGAAGTGGAGCACCTGGGACTCAATCCGGCACCTATATGGGATGCCGGCGCTGCAGGCGGTGCTTAACCTGCTATGCCATAGAGCCAGCCTTTCTTTGTCTTTTTATTAATTTACTTCAATATATTCTCCAGAGGTGTTCCAGCTTACTAATTATGTCCTCTGCTGTGTCTGTTCTGTTACATCCATCAATCTCCCTTTAAATTCCATTCATGCTCTGTTATTTGCATAATGTCTATTTACATATTATTTTTATAATTTATAATTTTTCCAAATTGTTTATTTTATCATTTTATTTTGCCCACAGCTTGGAAATCAATTTATAGTTTATCTTTGATAGCCTTTATGTTGTTCCTTTGCTACTTGTGTGTTCATGTTATTGAGATTGGTTTCTGGTGTTATGTATGCATCTGTAAAAATAATTTTGAAGTTTGACGATGTTTGTATCTTTTAGAGAGCTTTTCTTTATTTCCCACAGTCCTTTCATCTATTTTGAATTCAGCCACTGTAAACTAGGTTTCATAACCAGTGAAAGCTAATGGGTAAATTCGTTTGGATGGGTGTTGCAGTTTTTCTCTGCTTTTTGGGTTTGTACCTTGTCTGGGTTCCTATAAATCCTAAGGAATTTTCTCTCTTTGCATTTGCATTTTGTGTCTCAAAATGTTGATTTCTTCTTTGACACCAGGCAAAACTCTCAAAACTCTCAGAGACAAGATGTTTCCAATATTGTATTTTCTCAGGAGAGATTTTTTTTTTTTTTTTTGCCAGATTAGCACCCTGAAATTCTCCCTGCCTTGTTGGCATTTTGGTCCCTTTAAGCTGGTCTTTTTTTTTTTACTGTTTATTTAGCTTTTCTAGTTGTTCCCAAAGAAGAGAGTTGGTTCAGAACAAACTAGTCCTCTGGTGCTGTTAACATTCATATTTTACTTGTGATTTTCAGCTTCTTGCAGTTGTCCTACCTGTAGTCAGTCTGTTCCCCTGAGTTCCTAGACCCATGTTGTCTGAGAGCCATGTGGAAGTGTGATCAGTGAGTGTTTCTACCCTCGTTTCTGTACAGTTTTTGACGATTCCATAGGGGTAGCCCCCAGCTTCTCTAACTTCCCTGCCACAGCAGTCCAAATTGTCTCTTCATGATTCAATTACCATTTATGTTGGTGGACCAGGAATACAGTGACAATCCATGTTTCAAATAATCTGTCACTGTATTTCGTCCATATTTTTGTATGGTTTTACAAAATGTGAGTTTATGTATGTATAGAAACTAGAGCAGATACTGTCTAAGCCCATCTCAGCCTTTTCTCTCCAACAAAAGTACAAATATACCTATGCATTGAAAATTGCATTACAATAATTTGTTCAATGTTTTCTTTGTTTTCTGTAAAATTAAACTTAACATATATTTGTAGTTTCCAGTATCTGGTCTACACAAAATTTTAGTTACCGTAGCTGTTCTAGTAGTTATATACTTTTTCCTGAGTTCCATTAGCAGACATGGAGGCAGGTTCATGTATTTTTAGCAGTTGATGGAGGTATTCAGAAGAAAACACTAGTTATTTCTGAATTGGAGGGTAATTTGGGGTGACCCATAGAATTAGACTCTCATAGGATATTTCTTACTTTATATTCCCAAGTCATTTGGCCATTTCATCTGCCTTAGATGAAATACATTACTGTCTAGTATACTTTCATTCTTCGTCCCCCAACGCTTTAATTGCTTTCCTATGATCCCATCATTTAGCTCCCTTTAGGCTATTGAAATTGCTTTTAATACATTTTATGTCTAAAAAAGTACCAGGTTAACCCATCTAGATAAAAGCTTTTTAAATCCAAGTGAATTAATCCCCTTACATAGGAATTCCAATTAACATGATTTATTTTTCTAAACAACTCACCTGTTGCTCTTGATAGCCCCTATGAATTGAGCCATTGTATTACTTTCTATTTTATATATAAATATATATATGTGTATATATATATATATTTAAATCCCTCTATTCGTTTGTGTGTATGCTGGTAATGAGTCACCATTTGCTGTGAACAGCAAATTTCGATGGTCAAAAAAGCCGTGTGTCAAATAGCATCTTAGTCCTGCTTTACTCATGAAAAAGTTTCCTTTTCCTTGCAAACTTAGTATAATAATTGCTCCGCCAAGTAATTACATGCACTGAATTACATGTATCCCTGGTATTGTATAATATTATTATATAGCTGCAGGTTTTAACTTTCTTAAACATGCTACAAATGTATTTTTAGGACAAGTATATGCATCAGTCATCGTCTAACCTAAAATTTCTCTTTGAAATAGGAGAAATTTGATAAATATTTTTATTTGAGGTAGAATAAAATTATTATAAAGGTGAATGCGTATGTAATGAGTATGGTTTACTTATATGATATATGGGAGAGTTAATCTGAAAAAATGATGTAGATATAATTGTCAGTGTATTTTCAAAGTTCACTAGATGTTGATTACATAATTTTTATTAAATTAACATCAGTAGTCAAGTATCAAAAGCTTGGTTATTTTTTGTTAGAAATGAAGCATGTAAAAGTTTTTTTTTTAAATCCAGTTTGTTGTAAATGATGACTTGGTATTGCCTAAATGTGCTGTTATTCATTTTTACCTACTAGCTAGCTTGAATATATAGCCATTAATAACTTTTCTAGCATATCAAACATTATGAAATTAAAGCTATATTTTTTCTTTAAATATCATAATAAATGAAGAATTCCCAAAGACTTCCAAATAATATTTTTCAGTTTTTTTTTCATTTTTAATGTTTTTCTTAAGATATAACTTTATCGCACTTTCATGTAGAAAATTAAGGAGCTAGATCAGTGGGCAGTCTTGACAAATGACAAAGGTTTGAATTGTGGAATACCTAAATCAGTCCAAATGTTCTTCTCAATTACATCAGCAAACCCACTCAGTAAGTATAAAAAGCAAGTTAGATACTTTAAGGTCTTAATGAATTACATAGTTTTTTTTGTTTTGTGTTGTTTTTTTTGTTTGTTTTGTTTTGTTTTGTTTTGACAGGCAGAGTGGACAGTGAGAGACAGAGAGAAAGGTCTTCCTTTTTTCGGTGATTCACCCCTCAATGGCCACTGCGGCCGGCACACCACGCTGATCCAAAGCCAGGAGCCAGGTGCTCCTCCTGGTCTCCCATGCGGGTGCAGGGCCCAAGCACTTGGGCCATCCTTCACTGCCTTCCCGGGCCACAACAGAGAGCTGGACTGGAACAGGAGCAACTGGGACAGAATCCAGTGCCCCGACTGGGACTAGAACCCGTTGTACTGGTGCTGCAGGCGGAGGATTAGTCTATTGAGCCACAGCGCCGGCCGAATCCTGTAGCTTCTAAGAATCTATGTTCATGGGATCAGCATAAGCTGAAGAAATATGAATATTTGAAAATACTTAGACATAAATATTTTTCTAATGAAAGCTTTAAAATACACATTTATCAATTAATGTACATTTTTACTGGTTGTTGAATACTGTTAATAGGGTTTTTGTGTTGTTGTTATTATTGTTTACTGTTTTCTGTATTGAAGTCAACGTTTTTGATTTCTCTGCTTGTTCTCTACAGGGCTTCAAGTTCTCCTTCCGGACTATCTCCAGGAGCGCTTTGTACAAGCAGCTCTGAGCTACATCGCTTGCAATTCGGAAGGAGAGTTTATCTGCAAGGACAATGACTGCTGGTGTCAGTGTGGTCCCAAGTTCCCAGAATGCAACTGCCCCTCCATGGACATCCAAGCCATGGAAGAGAATCTTCTTCGAATAACTGAAACCTGGAAAGTCTACAACAGCGACTTTGAGGAGTCAGGTAAGGCACATGTTCTCATGGAACATTTTCAAACCTTGTTCAACAAATGCCTAAAAGAAGATTTTGCCTTCCAGGAAGAATCTACTATATACTTGGAAGGTCTTGTTAATTATTCTCTCAGATGGACATACATTGCTCTTATGACTGGTTTTTCAGAATTTTGCTAAAAGAATGTATGGTGCTTTGTGTATTACTATGCTACTGACACTATGGTAGAACCTGCTATTAAAATGATATAATAGTCATTTAGTAAAGAAACATCTTGCTTTTTCTCCTTGCAAGAATCTTCATTTGACAGTTCTACCTTTGCTAGTGGTCCCTGAATTTCATTTGTGAGACCAAACATGAACATGATTTCCATAAGAGGTCACCCTCATGCAACTACTTATTTTAAAACCAAAGTATATCCATTGTTATTTAATAGTGCATATCTTTTTTGTCATTCTAAAATTTTATTAGTGTGTGTGTTTCCAATATTTTTACTTATTTGCTGCATAATCTGTAGTAGTATACATGTATAACGCTTTGATATTTAAAGCAATACAAGACTATTGATAGGGGTTTATTTAATAATTCATGTTAAAAGGATAACAAAAACCGCTGCAGTGTGGTGAGTTTGATTATATAGAATTTAATCAGAAATGTTTTATATGACTAAATTTTAAATAAGCAAAGATGTTTCAGCTGCCAAGATGTTCTTGAGTATTACAGTTCATCTGAAGTGTCATTTCTTCAAATACAATTAAAAGGTTTCCAAAATATGTATCAAAGAAGAAAAACCATGATGGTGGTTTCAACAGAACATGGATTTTTGGTTGGAAAAAAAAAAAAACAAAATTCTACTTATATAGAATAAAAGGATGTCTAGATTTGGGAAGACTGATAATTTAAAAAGAGTTAAGATTATTTAGAGTACATATATTTAAGCAAAAGGCTTCATGAATACAAATGAACTCACAGACGCAGAAAGAGGAACGGTGGATACCAGAGAAAGCAGATGGAGGGGCTGGAATTCTGATGACCAAATGTTACAAAGTTTCAGTTAAAAAGGAGGAAAGACTTTTTTATGTTCATTGCAGAGAGATGACAACAATGAATAATAAGGTATTATATATTTATCAATTTTAGGTACATACATTTTGCATATTTTCTTTACAAAAATGATATGTTTTTGAAGTGAAAGATATGTTGATTAATCATGGCCGATTGTACACATGAATCATAACATCAAATTATATACCATAAAAGGATTTTCAAAAAGTTCATAGAAGTACATATTTTGAAAAAACTGTGGATTTCAAAGAAATGTTTGCATCAAAATAAACATTTTGTTTCCAGTTTCCTTGATCCTTTTTAAGTAGCCTTATATACAAAATGATCAGTTGTCAATTTACAACCAAATTGTAAAAGATCAACTATGAGGAGAGGATTGGCAACAAAATAGGCAAGAATGGGAAACCCAAAAGAACGATGAATGTATACTGAGATTCTGCACTTGCTTTTCCTTTTGGCACATTTATCCATATTCAAGACATAATTCAAGACTGAGAATAAAGTATCAACCCCTGGAAAATGCTACTACTCCCGGATAGAGAAACCAGAAGAGCTGTTTACAGTCACCCTAGACTTAGGTCATATAATTGGGGGCTTAAGGTGTCTTAAGTGTACAGACCATCTCTCCTCTGGGACATCTCCTTTATTCTGAATCTGCACATGACAAGTGGATAAAGATTTACACTGGTAAATCTTGGATGTGGAACTGAGTCTTCTGCAGTAGTGCAGGCTTGCCATTTCACATACTAATCAGGTAACATGGCAGAACAGGGATAAACAGAGGAAAGTGGAGTCCTATTGAAATCTAGCATTGGCACAGCTCACACTGTGATCCTGAGGAGTTGATTCTGAAAAGATCGACTCTCCATTGCAGCATCTGATAAATGAGTGAGAGGGCGGCTGAGGAAGAAAACATGTTCGGGGACCACCGAGATTCTTTTTCAACAATATGATGGATATAGAATCCTAACTTATAAATATGTGTGCAGACAAAATTTTATGCATAGTATTACAGAGAGACAACCCGGAAAATAGAAGCTGTGTTATCTAGATTGTAATAAAACTAGAAGGAAATAATTTCAGATTATTATTACTGAAATATTTGAGCAAAAATTGGAAAAGAAGTATAAAGTAGATAAAATACTGCAAACTTAACTGGGGAGAGGGAGTGGGAAAGGGGAGGATTGCGGGTGGGAGGGACGTTATGGGGGGGGAAGCCATTGTAATCCATAAGCTGTACTTTGGAAATTTATATTCATTAAATAAAAGTTAAAAAAACTGATTAAAGAACATTCTAAAACAAAAAAAATTAAACATCTAAAACCAATAACTCGAAGTTTCATTTTGATAGGAGTTCTTGGGGCAGAGCATGGTAGGGCTAGTGAACACAAAGACAGATTAATGGAATATACAGAAATGAAGGCAGTGAAGAGTACCTCAGCATGGCATCTGAGGCAAGTAAACCTGCAGGAAATTAAATTTTATTAATTCAGGAACAAGAAAATCAAATGAGAGTTACTTGATGGCACCAAAATAAAAGCATAAAGAAGAAAATGGGAAAAATTGGCATTCATAGATAAATGTGTATTGTTTATGTCACACTCTCTCTACTACTGTGTTTCAAATTAAAAATTCAAGACTTTTATTCATTTTTCATGTGCTTGTTGAAGAGTGCCATTGGCCTCAGTAAAATATGTCAAGTGAGATAAAATTCCATTGTAAATGGCATTATGTTACATGTTACATTTTACTTGTTACATTAAATTTACTAAGTAAAATATTAAAATTATAGGACTTGATAAAGTAACAGGATTGTTTCTGTTTATTAAAGATATACTTTAAATATAAAGACACAGATAATTTAAGTTGAAGAGTAGAAAGTATAAATAATGTAAAAATCTTCCAAAATAATACTTGAGTAAATTCTAAAGCAAGCTATATTAATTGAAATATAAATATTTTATAACAAAAGAGTGCAACATGAATATATATACCAAAATATTAGTTTATATGGAGCTTAACATAAAAATTATACGAAATCAGTTAAATAAGCAAAAAATATACCTTTATCCAAGACTTTTGAAGTAAATGGGAAAGACTTGTAATAGATGAGAAAGATTGAAATCAACATTCAGGAAACCAAAGGCTGCAGGATTTTCAACAAAGGCCTGAGCTCAGTGGAGAGCACTGGTGGGCATTCACAGTGAACTTGACAAACGAGGAGGCCATTGGTGTTTGCTAATTATCTCTTACTGAAGTTAGGCTCCCCTTCTTCCAGAGAAACCCACCTGTTTTCCACAATCATTACATTGCAAAAGGATGCCCCCAGATCCTGAAGAAAGGGGCAATTTTTGTGCAATATTTCCATCTCAATAAAAAGGGAGAATTTACAATTTTCTAAAATGAATGTTCTGTGAACAGAGACATCAGTGATTTATCATTAACTTAGAAAAACTGAAGAGAATGTTTGACCCTCTTGGTCAAGACTTAATAACATATCCAAATAACATGAAGAAAAATGTCACACACACACACACACACAAATGTGAGATTTTAACCTGTCTTTCAATAAATGAAAGAATAAATAAGCTTAATATGAGTAGCAATTTAGTGAATTGAATAGAGAGGTGACTGGTGATTAACATGAAATATATTTAGAGCATCAAAGGAAACAACCCAAAATTTATGTTTTCCACTACTCAGGTAATCTGTAGTAAGATCCAGCATATGCTAAGCCACAAAGTAAGTCTGAACACATTTTAAAATACTGGAATAATTTAAATTATATTTTCTGACCACAATAAAATCACAATTAAAATGATAAATAAAAACAAATAAGTGGGTCCTATTTATTTGAAAATTAACTGAAAGTTTTCTAAGTAAAACATAGGTCAAAGAAGTTTTGAGAAAATAAGTTACATTGAAATGAGAGTAGGACATACCAAGACATGTGTGATCCAGCTAAATACTTGCTTTGGGGGAAAATTCATAGCTTTGAGTATATTTTTAAAAACTAAAAGACTGAATATCAGTTATGTATGCTATCATTTTAAGTGTTTTAATAAAGAAATAACATCCTGGGACTGCTGCTGTGGCACACTAGGTTAATTCTCCACCTGGCTCCTGGCTCCTGGCTTCGGATCGGCGCAGATCCGGCCATTGCGGCCATTTGGAGAGTGAACCAACAGAAGGAAGGCCTTTCTCTCTGTCTCTCTCTCTCTCAATGTCTGTAACTCTACCTGTCAAATAAATAAATAAAAAAATCTAAAAAAAAAAAAAAGAAATAACATCCTCTGACTAGTATAAAGGTAACAGAAACAAAGACTAAAGTAGAAATCAATGTAACTCAAAGCACCAGGAGACAGAAAACTCACAGAGCCAATTGGTGCTTCTTTGGAAAGATGAACAAAACTGGTACTTACCAAATATAAAGAAGAAATGTCTATATTTTAAATATAAATTCTGTGGGACTGGCATCCAGCTTCCTGTTAATGTCCTGAGAAGGCACTGGAAGATGACCCATGTATTTGGGCGCTTTCTATCTACAGGGAGACAGCAATGGAATTCTGGCTTGGATTTGGCTGTTGTGAACCTTTGGGGAGTGAGCCAGTCAAGCAGAAATGTGTCTGTCTCTCTCCCCACCACATTCCTTACTGTCTCTTTCAAATAATGAAAAACAAATGTCATTTAAAAATACATTTCTGAATATCAAGTGTATAAAGAGAACATCACTTGAGATACTACAGCTATAACCAAAATTACTAAAGAAATTATATACTCAGGAATTTTCCAATTTGGATAAACTAGATAAACTAGACATTTTCTCCAAAACTAACTTTAACAAACTAGGCATAAAATTATACCTGAAAATATGTATCTAATTTGAAACAAAACTTCACACAAAACTTCTTTTAGAAATAGAAAGAAAATCCTAAACAAACTTTCTT